GTGTATTACTTCCAGTGTCGGCTATTAAAATCCGACACTGGCTAAATGGGATTTTTTTTGTGTGAGTCGTAAATCCTTCATGCGCTTAATTCGCGACATTTGCCAGGGCACTAAGGGCTCAATCAACACTTCCACTTTTGGAAGATCTGGCTGATGAGAGTTGTTTGTTTGACTGAGTTTGCTTGACATGTTTAGTGAACAGACTGTTCATGAACTTTTGTGTTTGGGTTTTGTATGGTTTTGTTGTGCCCGGAGCCCTGGTGGTAGTTTTTTGGAATGGGGGATTGTCTAATGGTATATGCTGAGAATATACACTTAGCCTAGAGCAGAACATAGACAGAGACATACAGAGACCGTGCACAGCAAGAGTGAGAAAAATTGCCTACATTTCGTTGCCAACATGACCCCTTATAAAGTGCTTTTTTGGTGAACTGTGCGCTTGAGCGTTTATCTTGACACAATGAAGGTCTGGAAGGAGGGTGGGGTAAACCATTTTATGGTTAGGCCATTTTTAGGTTATAGGTCTACAAAGACATCATTTTGGTTGGTTTTGGTCGGTCTGGGCTCGCCATTTTATAGTGAGCTGGTGTCCATCCTGTTAGCTGGGGTCATCCATTCTATAGAGCAAAAAAGGTGGGGGAAACCATTTTATTACTATAAAATGGTGAGTCCGGACCGACCATGGGAATTTCAACGGGGATTATATATATATATATTATGTATTATATTGTACGTTCTCATCATGAGTGGGTGCACCCGTGAAAACAGGCAATTGCAACGATGGGTTCACATGAGGGAGCGGACAGCGGAAGAAAAGAACAGAAAACAATGAGATCAGGAAACAAAAGGTGCACAGCGAAGGAGAATCGCACACTGTTAAGAGACAAGACACGAGCGGGTGCACGACTGAGGAAAATACCAAAGGATTGTAGTGAAGAAAGATAACAGAAGTCCAGAACTCCACAAAATAGTGTGTGTGTGTGTGTGCTGTTCATATTGTAAGCTAAGCGCTTATAAACTACTTAGGTTCTACTTACAACCCACATATTTATAATATGTGAGTTGTAAGCAGAACCTAAGTAGTTTGTAAGTCGTGCCAGGGTAGTTTGTAAGTAGTTTATGCTGTCGGCTTCGTTACCGGCCCACGTTTTGTCTTTATGTTGCTTTCCATATTTTTTTTCCTGGCATCTTGGTCGACAACATTGTCATCGATTTCCTCAGATAATCTGTGGTTTCACAACTAACATTGTTATCGGCTTCACAAGATTGTCATCGATGTATGGATGTTGTCATCGGTTAGTCGTGTGATTAATATGAGGGGTGGGGTTGTGCTGGAATCCTTAAGACCGAAGCATTCAGTTGCACGGCAGAAAACTGATGATGGCCGAAAGACTGTCATGCTGTGCGACGGTGCCCCCTGTTGCAAGAAGCTTTCAAAACGGTTTTGCTTGGTGCTTCGCCAATGCATTCACTCTAGAATCTTCACTGTTGAAAAACAGGTTGGCCGTCGAGGCCTTTCTGTGCACGCCGGAGGTATCGAATAGTTCTGGGCAACGCTCAAACGAGCCGTGCCGAGTAGGAGGAAAGCGCAACCCAGCGCTGTGGCGATATTGTATGGTCGATCCTTGTGGAGACGGGAGATCAGAACCCAAACGATACGCATGCAAGTAGGGTAAGTTCCAAGCTACATACTGACTGTTTACCAAACAGTTACAGTATCTCTAAAGGTAATTGTTTTACAGGTGTTACAAGTTACCTACTTATAACTACTCCCAAACCACATAGATTTTGAGAATATGTTCTTCCATGTGCTCGCGGCTATTTGATGAGTTCCGTATGCAGGGCAGGTGGAAACCACATCTATCACGTCAATGGTGTTGTTTCAATGGTGTAAGTGCGTGCAAGGTGTACGCCAGGACTCCTGTCCGAAGACCGGGCGCCAGGGAAGTGGTCCCCTGGATTGTTTCATGGTGGCATTGTGTACCTGAAGATTTTTCGTTCTTACTCGTGTGTGTGTGTCTAGACCTGCATGCAAAGTACAGGTCAAACTGTTTTATGCAGTGTTTTGCTGCAAAAGTGCTAATATAAGAAAATGCCACTGCGGTCACGGCCCAGTGACCGGCGCTGTATACTGGCCATGATGGCACAATTGCTGGTCTCCAGCACCTCGAGCAGACAGACGTGAGCATCAGCTCAAGTCCAAATCCATGGTTCCACACCAGATGAACAGATGAGGTCAACACCGCAGCCGCAGTACAGATTTGGGCACTCGATTATTTTGCATATTTTTGCGACCCGGTAGGCTGGCCGACATCCAAGCATTGAAGACAGTTGATCCAGCACCGTATGCCAAGGCGCCCCAAGGCATGCAACACCCACCCTCTCAAGACCGACTTGGACTTTGAAGACATGGGCATCCCTCGCATCAAAGACCCTGATGGCGACTACATTCGCCAGACGAAGCCATTGGTGCTGCCTGCTGACAACGCGTAGCTGCGCTCTTCAAGAAAGTCTACCACCGCCTCATCATGCAGGACATGCAGCGTGACGCACTGATCATCAAGTCCCGACCCTGTTGCTCGCACACTCCCACGTTGTGGCATTGGGATGGCGAGTCGGACGGTGGAGAAATCAAGGAGGCTGAAGCCATTGTGTTGCGTGCCCCATGGTGGAAACAGCGACTTGTCCAAGGAAGCGAAGTCGCTGGAGGGGCAGCGATTAATGTAGACATCCATGTGTGCCACCTGCCTCTAAGATTCTGCGAGTTAAAAGTTTTAAGTTGTATATTTTCGGATATTTTCGGACTCTTCACCTTGCGGCTTGCACGATTGCGTTGTAATCTTGAAAGTGTGTCGAACGCTCGGACGAATTCACACGATGGACCATCGGAGGACCGCGCGGAACCCAATCGTCACGAGGTTTTGGTAGGTGTTTTTTCTGTTCACGCAAAGATGGCAGAGGCAGTTTATCGACAGGTTCAGGTTAATTGCGTAAAAACCCGAGTGTGCTCCAAAATCTGTAGGTCTCTACTAAACAACCTCGATTCCAAAAGAGAAGCCCTTTGACGTTTGTTTTTATTCGCAGATATCCGAAATCCCTGCCGCGTGCCACTGTGCAAACGTTTGTTTGAATTGCAGATGATGGCATCGCATCAGGATCCGAGCTTGGCGCCTGAGGACTGTGGAGTGCTTCATGCCTCCTGGCTGGTCCTATGTCAGAAGGGTTCAAATCTCAGAAATGTTTGAATAGTTTTGTTTGGGGAGTAAACATACCTATATGTTACAGAATCAGGGTTCGTCTATAGGCATGTCTCATCCATGGCGGAGTCCAGCGAGCTTCCTTGGCCAGACAGTTGTTGCAGGTCTAGGTGCGGGTTTCCACCTGATCTCCCCAGTCCCCAACATGACTGTACTGTCAGTCCCTTCCCAACCATGGCCCATGGAGGGTTGACATCCCGAACATAGGAATCTGTTCAATTGACCCGGGTCAACCAGGGTGCCTGGGTTTTGGCCCACCCACATTGGTTCCACTATTATTGTGGTATTGTCTTTTTGGGGGGACGCCATGTCGTTGGGTCTGTTGGCATTCCTAACATCTAACGCTTTTTGGCCGTGGGTGCCGAAGTGGGTGTGGAAAAAAACATGGCGTTGAAGTGGAGATGGTGACGCAACGCTGTTCGAAGATACGATCTGCATGAGGCGGAATTCGGATTCGTTCGATCCCGTGGCATAGACAGAGTTGGTTTGCACGAACGCTGAAAACGATGGGTGGCATAGACAGATGGTTTGCCAGAAGAACCTATAGATGCATGTTTGATATCATTTGCCGCTCAATCCCCCCAACCTGTTTCTAGCCGGCATTGTGGACGGTTTGTGTTGTGCAATACTAGGGAGAACCCAGTGGATGTTTGGTCTCATGTTCCTTCTTCCAGGGGGTCTTGATTCATGACTTTTCTTGAACTCAGGAAACCGTTTTTCTGGCAGAGTCCTCGATGGGTGTGCACGTTGGTCGTATGAAGTAACGCCCAAAAGTTGGTAAAGATTTCCGCTGTCTCTTTTAAGGTTTTTAATGCCTGGTATAGGGAGGTTGTTGGGTGAGATGTGCAGTTCATTGCTGGGGTGATACTGACCTTGCCTAGCCCTGCCATGACAGGTTGTGGTTTTCCAAGGTGCGGTTTTAGAGTAGAAAGGCGCAAGAGTGGTCAATTAACATATTGTGCACCATGATGCCCCATGTGTTTTCTATTCCGATGTCTCGTGGACGCTGTGATGCACCTGAAGGTGCCGGCCCATATGTTCAGCATCGTCCCAGAAGCGGACAGGGAACATATATATATATTACCGCTTCTTTGGCACGCAAGGCCGCCAATACCTACGACACACTTTGTTGGTGGATCGTCAACTATGCAGACCATTTGTTTCGAGCAGAGCTCTCGTTAAAAAACAAATTAACTATCCTTCCAATCCAAGTGACACTCTGCCTCCTCAATTGGATTTTGAACGGTACTCAAAACTGTTGTGTCTGTCAAGAAAAAACACATCGCCTCTGATCAACGAACGCACCAGGAGTCCTCACCTCGCAAGAAGCTAGCAGCACTGCTCGTCGCCAGCTTTCACTCTCACGACCGACGTCGCCACCGCCCAAACCGAACAGACCGAAGACGGACCGACCTCAACCGCCGAGCTCGAACGACGCGACGCGACGCGACGCGACGCGACGCGACGCGAATGAACGAACGAGGCCTACACCCCCGCGACGGAGCCGTGGGAACGGTGGAAGGACTTGGACCGGCGCAGCGCGGAGTACAAGGCGCGTGGCGCGGGTGATGACGGGGGCGGCATGTGTGACCGGTGAAGGGTTGAGGATGAAGGATGCGGAGGTTGTGGAGGTTGTGGAGGATGGAGGTGTTGCTTTCTTTGGTGGCAGCTCCTTGAAAGGAACGACCTGGAAGCTGATTGAAGTCTGGATGTTGGAGTTCGACTGCAGTTCACACTGCGTAGAACTCACCACAGGAAACAGTCTCTGGGGGGCGAAAAGGCGAAATAGGTTGGAGATCATCGCAGTTTTTCCAGCTGCACTGCAGTTCTCACTGCGCAGATCTGGTACGCAAGAGTAGCGAGTCGGATTTGTTGGTTTGGGGATCCAAAGGTGTGATCAATTTGCTGGGGGATGGTCCAAGCTATCAGCAAGAAATTGGGAGAATCCTGGTGATCAAGTGGGTGAGTGGAATGTGTTCGAGGTTGTCCCAATCAGGATAGCTTGTATGTGCACGGTACAGAAGATGATTCAGACAGGATGATTGAATATGATTGATATGTATATATATACAACCGTGATAACATATTGGGACATAGCATATAGTCATATGCTTGAGTTCTACTTGCTAGCATGAATATGGATAGCTCGTGATAGCCTTTGGATCATAGAGATCTTAAGCAAGCTCAACATCTTTCATCCAACATGGCCGCATGTTCTTGGCCGCAGGCCTTGAAAGAGCAGCGGGCCGAATTCTTGTGGAAGCAATTGGAACGCATCATCCCCGACCTTCGCCAAAGAAGCAAGGCCGGCGTCCGCAGGCGCCGAGACGGCGCCGGTTGGTAGTGGACTCTCTGGTGTGATTACGGAAGTAGAACATAGATGGAACAAGCATCAATCAATTCCCAGACGCTCCACTGGACTGGAAGGGAACGCTGGCTATGTCAAAACACGCTACATTGAAACTACCCCAATGTATCAACAAGTACTCCAGTCAAATGGAGTGTTTGAGAATTGTCGTTGCCTGCAGGTCTTCTGACAAGATCTGGACCTGCAAAAGACTGACAAGACCCTAATTTGTGGTTTCAATTTATGGCTGGAAACCCCGAACGGACTAGTATTTGCTCGCCGGCCTCTCGCCAGCGGATCGGACTGGTGTAGAGAGCTTGTTGTGGAGTTACGTCCTTTGAAAAGCTCCGAAAACTCCGATGGTGGAGCGCATGAGGCGCCTAAACGTTGCTCAAAGCCACTGGGATCCTTTCCCAGACGAGACCTGTTTGGGACTGCCAATCCGTTTTGTTAAACTACATTGGGTTGGTTTAAGGGATCCATGTAAGTATAATCCGATCATGTATGGAATAATTGTTAATACTTCCATTGGGGGGTCATTTTCATGGGGTAAATGTATGTGAGAGTCAACCGAAACCCTTGAAACAGAAATTTAGACCAAACGCAAATGTGAGAGTCAGACCTTGCATTTTTCCCCAGATAGCGACAGCTATGGGGTTCTTACTTCAAATAACAATGAGCTGCCTGTGCGCGCTTTCGAGACAGGGTGCCGGTGCCGGGTGCTGGTGCTGGCTGTGGTGGTGCTGGGTGCTGTGAGCTGGCCTGCCGGTGTTGGGTGCTGTGCTGGCTGCGCGCGTGGTGGAGACAGGGTGCAGGTGCTGGGTGCCCGTGCTGGGTGCTGGTGCTGGCTGTGCGCGTGGTGGAGACAGGGTGCTTGGAAAGCTGGCGAACTGCGCGGCAGTTGACCTTTGGAGCCAACATGGCTGCGGACGCTCTCATTCCGAAGCTGTTCATGTGGTTGATGGCCTTGAGAAAGTGTTGTGTTGGAAGCGGATGTCGAAGGTATGCCGCTTTTTGAAAGTGTGTCATGCTGGGTTGCCAGTGCTGGTGCTCGGTAGGCTTTTGGCATCGGTTAGCAGGCTTTTGGTAGCCAAGCATTCTAAGTGACGTTGCTTTTGGACTTTCCCGCATGACCTAGACCAGAAGTACAGAAATTGCTCGACTGTTTATCCAGTAATTCGGAATATGCCGTCGCGAGGCAGATCAACTTGACCCAAGTGATTACTGAATTTGATTCTGCGACAGTCACCAAAGCCAGTGTGAATGCAATACTTAGTTTCAAACACTTAGGAGCTGCTGCCAATGCAGGGTGCGGTCCAGAAAAATATTTTGCTTGTTTTGCTACTTGGGGTCTATGCTGGTGTTATTCATGTTTTTTTCCTGTGGTGTACGCAAGCAGGCGCAAGGGCGGGCGCAAGGTTCATTCTGTAGATTATTTGTAGATTGATTTGCAGGTGCATTGAAATAAAATGAATGGGACAACCTTGGAGAGTCTGATTATCATTTCGTAGCTATTTGGCAAAGCCTCAATGGAGCTGCGTGGAAGACCTACCAATACCTAGATCTTCAGTCCGGCACTTTTACAGGGTCCGGCGCCGGACTTCCAACTCCGGCATTTTTCTGGATTTGGTCCGGCAGTTTTTCCAAGTCACTCTATGTGGATTCTCAAGGTTTTGCATTCTTTGTGGTCCGCATTTCTTTGAAGGAAAACCCATTACTGATGCAAGGATTTTGCTCGCAAAGTGTGCTGGCTTGCCTGTTCCGCTGTTTTCTCACTCCACCGGTTTCAGCATGGTTCACACTGGGTCAATCAGATCCGTTTGGGTGATCTTCTAAATGAAATCGGATGAAATCGGTACAGTGCGATGCACATGTTGAAAGAACATAGGCAAAAAGGCACTCCCACTGTTTCAGGATGTCGGGGCGCTGGGATATAGTTCTAGCTGCGCAGGTTTGCAGAGCCTGCCGGACAAGTTTTGGGCTGTGGAACATGTGTTGTTCAGAATCTCAATGTTTTGCAGAGAGTTGCTAAAAAAAAATTGCGCGTCGTAACTCCGGCATAATTTCCCGTAACTCCGGCGTAATTTCCCGTAACTCCGGCGTTTTTTGGGGCTCAGTCTTCCGAAGGCTTTGAATTTTGAAACGTTGTTCAAAGAAGAGTTTCGACAGGAACCATGAGTTCTGCTACTTTATTGGCGGGGCCGTCCTGAGGCAAGCTTTGAAAAAGTTAAATAAACATAAGAATCATGGAGAGCAACCCACTTTGTAAAAAACTTTAGAGACACGGTTGCAGAGAAATAGAGGCTCCTTGCCACGTACTCCTTGGTTTCTTCTTGGAAGTCTTTGCTTGGGCACAAGTTTGCAATATATTTTGTGATGGTTCTGCCCTTAGGCCATTCGGAAGACGGGCGAGGGCAATGGGAACGGGAAGGCTCCAGTGTTGGGTTGTGGAATGAGTGTGCTCCAGAAAAAACTACTCGTGGCGCAAAGGCAGTTTGCTCGTGTATGATCCAACCTTTTATCATCTGTTTTTCAGAATCTTGGATCCGGATGTTTTTTCAGGTCTCCGGCGTTTTTTTCGGAATCCGGCAGAAAATTTTGCCGGCATTTTGTTCCGCCTAAAGGAGGATCCAGGTATGTAGGTGATGGGTTGAAGTCAAAGAAGCTCAAAAGGTGGAGGCAAGCTTTTAAGTGAAAAGAACAGTGTGGCTTCCCGGATGCACCCGAGTCGAAAATTGAACCAGAAAGAAGAGCCCAAGGAGAAGAAAGGGGATGAACAGACGAGAACCTCACAAGCAACCCACACACCAGGCAATGTTGATTCCTCAGCATTAGCCTGCGGTGAAGGGAAGAAAAACATGGGAAACATGGGAAACTCACCCCCGCACTGCAGAACCGACGGAACCTGGCCAAGGGTGAATGCCTGACTTGGGCCGACTACAAGCAAAATATTCTATTCCCCAGGCCTCAACGGCAACCAGCACCATGTTCTATGGTGGTGATCGGATGGAACTCAGCGTTTTTGGGTGCATTCTCAGCTTCAATGCAGATGGAAACATCAAGACTTGCAAGCTGATCTTCATCAGTGCCATTATAGAAAACTCTGCTTTGATGTCTTCTTTGCTGTTTGGAGAAGTGGCCAAACTCTTTCCGCAAACAGCTGCGTGCAGTCGGGTCACCATATGGACAGATGTGGGCCCCACTTTCGTGCCGACGACCAAGTGGCATTTCTGTGTCAGGAACTCTTCCCGCAGCTCAGCGGATGGCTTTGCCTTCGCTTTTTCTGCGAGAAGCATGGAAAGGGCGAAATAGACGCCATGTTCGCTGAAATGGAGAACTGGGTCAAAGCCGTTTTGAAAGCACCCGGACCCGGACAAGTCATCAGCACCCCGCAGCAGTTGGTAGAATTTTGCACAAAAGGAGCAGCTGCTATCAACAAGAGGCGCTCGCAGGGAACTGAATACCAGGTGAAGCAGTTCGAGCTGGCCGAGAAGCCTCCTAGAGTTTGGAAAATGAAAGACCACCAGATTGCTATCACCAAAACTTATGCCTTGGACATCCACACTCCTGGGCCCAATTCCGATAGAAGGAACCCCCGAATCAGAGATGTCTTGTTTGCCGACAGAACTGAGGGATGTTCGCACCTGTCCAATCGCGAAAATGGGACAGAAAAGCACCAGGCAGCTGGGCGAAACTGATGACCGGGCCTTGAGCACAATCAGTGTCAGACAACTGCCGAGTATTTAAACAAAGAGAGAATCTTCAAAATAATCATCGCATGCGGGGAGCGCAATTTGGCGCAAGGGCGGGCTCAAGTGTGTTTTCAATATGGTGATTGGAACTTAGGCTTTGGCAAACCCTGTAAAAACAAAAAAACTATTCCACTCCCATGGACACAATGGTCTCGGGTATGATGAATACAAAATGAATCCATCACCAAAAATACCAGGACCCTCCAAGGGGTGTCCAATGGACTACCCCACACTACCTATAGGTTTCGATTGGGCACCCCTTGGAGGGTCCCGGTGTGTTGTCATTGGACATCGCCGTTGGACATCCCAGATCCACTCGTTCCCTCTCCGCGGCACCGAGACGGCAGGTCCACATGATTGGCACGCCCCTGACGCACCAGCGCTTCCTGAATCGGCACCAAGGCCTTGTTTATCACGTGGAGGGTGTGAGAGGGTGTGAGAGGGTGTGAGAGGGTGTGAGGGTGCCTGGACCAGCCTGAAAAGGGTGGGTGTTGTGGACCTGGATGCGAAGATCCAAACGTTTTTCGTTATAGGGTATTCCAACCAGGAGACCCCTTTCGAAGGTGTGTGTGTGTGTGTGATGTGTTTTGTTTTTGGAGATCTGATGATTGGATCCCCTTGAAGAAGAAGGATATTGGAAGCAGACCCGGCAAGACCATGTTCTTCCAGTTTTGTTGGAAGACCAACATGTATCTTGGTTTTGCGGTTTCAGGTTCAGGCGATTGTTATTTTCCCTATGGGTGAATCCCTTTCAGCTATGGTTTCAGAGCCCCTTTGCTGCAAATGTTAAAGGATGGAGGGTGAATCCCCTTCTGGGGAGGTTCCCGGACAGCAAATCCCAGGTCTCCTCATCAGGCGCCCAGGGCGCCCACTCCAGGGCGGGCGCTCCCACGAATTTGCCAAGGTGAGCAAGGTGAGCATGTCAAGTTCTGAAGTGAAATGCAACAACTGAGCACCCGAAAATTCATAGAAGATTCAACCCAGAGTACCGCGAGTGGGACAGAATGAAAAGATCAGCAGGTGCGTCATACCGTCATGCTGGCAAAGAGGGGAAAGGGGGAGCGACTCCCTGCGCGCAACACCCGTGAGAGGCTAAATGGATTGGACATGTAAGGCCATACTCGTGAGAGGCTAAATGGATTGGACATGTAAGGCCATGACAATCATTTGGGAAGGTGGTGAACACGCGTGAGCTTTGGAGGACAGCCCAGTCACCGAGTCGCCGTCGACATTCATGACTTTGGTGACTTACGGCTTTGGCGAGACTTGTTGGCGATGTGTGGGTGGCGCTTTCGACCTTCATGGAACATTACCTGTTCAGCACCGTGATGAAGAGGGGCAGCTCGCGGGAGTAGACTTCTATGATCCGCCTTCAACAGTTCTTCTTTGTGGGGAGACCTCCTCCCTGAAACCACTCGCCCCTGACCAGCGGCGGTCCGTTGCCAGGCAGCTATGGCCCTCGCATCAAGGCGGGCGAAGCGGAGTTCCCTGGCGCCAGCACTCCAATCGCAGGCGTGGAGGGCGAGCTTGGGAGGTTCGGAGAGGTGGTGATAGCGGAAGAGTTGAGGTGGGAGGAGTTGAGGGTTTCGAATGGTTTCGATTGGTTACGGATGGTTCCGGATGGTTTCGATATGGTGCGAAATAACACGATCTTCCAACTTTGATGCACAATGTCGACCCTTTTGAAGTTGGTTGTAACTATAGGGATGAACAGGCTGACATGTTGCACAGTTGGAAAATACAGGTATAAGTATAGGGAATAGGGACATTAGTTGATTAGTTGAATCGTTTTGGGTGGTTGATCCGTAGATTTTTTTGGCAGCAAACCTCTTCAATGTGCCATCTATTTGCGAAATTAAGACTCCTACAGAGTGAATCCCAGTCTTGCTTCAGGATTGGTTCCTCGCTCAGTTTGGACCTTCGTGCCAGGTAATGGTTCAAGTAAGTCATGGCAGGCTTCCCCCAAACCTGCATGTCTTTAAACACAAATAGAACTTTGATTGCACACACCGTCACCCAGAATTCCAATGTGGGACTTGTGACGAGGTTGTGTCAAATCAACATCAAGAGTGTGCTCCATAGGCTGAGTCCAAAGGTATGCCAAAGTGGAGTCCAATGAGTGCTGATGGTTCTTTGAATCTTTGCGTGTTGAGACAAAAGCCCTGAAACGAGGGGATGACAGGAGAGGACTCATGTTCATTTGACCCTCACCTGGTCTCCCTGACGGAGGTTTCTTTGCAAGCCAGGCCTAGTGCTGTGTGGCGACAGTTGCTTCCCAGGCTGGCGGATTCCGAGGATTCCAGGAGTCTTTTGGAAGGTGCGGAGCTGAAGAAACCCTACAAAAATCATCCAAACATTCCTAGCACATCCTGTTTGGGTGCTGTTTGGGTGCCCTGTCTGGAGACCAAAGGACGTCCCGGGGCACGTAGGGTAGCGGGTCCAGCCAGGTGACCCATTGGAGGCAGGTGACCCCGTAGGTCGGTAGGTCCTGTGTTCACTGGGTCAGACAGGCGTCGTCAGACAGGTGGAATCACCAAATCCAGTCTCGCTAGCATGCCTCTTAATAGACATCGTCATGCATGGTGCATTCAACCGATTTCACGAGCATTTGCAGATCCTGAATCGCCATTTAAAGCCCAACATGTCCACGCCATGTCCACGCTACTTGGGAGGCTCAGAATTCTTCCAATTCAGCAGTTGAGCCAGTTCGCGGTCCAGTTCGCCACAACCCGGAATTTCTATTCCGGCCCTGCCTAGCCCTACCTGATCACCCGATCATCTCTCCTCCATGACACCCGGTCCTCCAGGAGGAGCAGTCCTCCAGCGCCCAAAAACAGCACCACAATCCCCCATGAAAGGGTCATGGAAGCACGGCCCCTTGGATGACTCTTTTCCCTACTTAAACAGTTGGTTCATGGTTTTGCGGATCCAGCGGATTTGGTGGTTTTCCCTAAGGTGTGTATTTGCATTTCTATAAGTGTGTCTATCCCCTCACCTGCGGAACAGTTTTAGAAGGTTCCCGGCTTGGACGGCAAATCCAAGATCCACTCCAAGCACTTTTTTCTCCCTGGAACTGGAGGAGATCGTATTCTTTCTCTAGGTTTGGCGTGTACCCTAGGGCTCCAATCGCACAGTCGTTTCGGGGGCCAGGAGGGTCCAGTCATAGCTGCTGGGGAAGTACGACTGGAGCTCTAGTATAGTGCCCAGACACTCCATGGGACTGCCATATATGCCTACATTGGAGTGGTTTTGGGGGTCAATGTAGGCATATATGGCATACATGGAGTGTTTGGGGTGGGGATGGTTGATGTTCCTGAACTTGGATGTTTACAGGACATCCCCAGGGTACCTGATCTTTCCCCTGAAGCAGCCTGGCTCTTCTGGGGAGATTCTGCTCAGCTAGCGGGCGTTGACTGATAGCTGGGCAATAGAAAAAGTACATTTGGAGTGAATCCCCTAACCTGCAGAATACACTCTGACTTACTAACAAGGAAGCAGCGTTCGCCCCCCCTGTTGGTAGAGGACAGTACTAGGCCGCTTGTAGTCTTCCAAGGGACTATAGGCAGCATCACTACAAACCGAATCGAACACCGGTCTCAGGCATCGGTGTGCCCGCTGTGGCGGGCAGCGGCCTCCTGGCAGCGCACGCCACGGGGCTGGAGACGCTGCCGGCGTCGCCTGGCGGGACAGGGCTACAGCAGCCGGGAGGCTTGCTGAGGCCTATTATATTGTTGGGCTTAGTGTGATAAGGGAGAAAGAATATCATAGGTCTATTCTATGTCCTTGAACAAAATGTCTGACTCACCCCCAATTGGACGAATGGGGAAATCAAACTAGGCATAAATAGATGTAAGACACACTGGATTGGGGATTTCACTGTTCTGGCTTGACATACTCATGAGTGGATAACATACTTAGCACATCCAATGGGTGCGCAAATCAGTATACGGTTGTCCATTGGTGACCCGTTGGAAGCATCTGGTAGATTTGGCTCATTAGAAAGCGAATGCATGGCCACAGACGTACGTCTTCGACTTATGCGAAAGAAAGAAGAGATCTGACGTGTGTCAAAGGCTACTGACGACATGACTCTGACTCTTTAGGGTCCGAACGTGGAACAGCTCCATGATGTGACCTCAGGCTTGACCACGTTGGGCCACGTAGGGCCGGTTTGGCCAGAGGAAGAAAGGATTCTGACAAGCTCCCGAAAACGTGTCATTTCATCGCATGGAACATGGGACTCTCCCGAAGGTTCAACGGTGGCGGCGCTTTTCGGGAGTTCTTCATCCGTGTCCTTCTTCCCAAGAAACCGAGTGCAACGTTTCGCTCTGGTCTGGCGGACACACGCGAGTCTTGCCCAATGCTTCAGCCTTGGAGTCAAAGAGTCGACAAAATCTACTGGTTTCAGAGGTTCGATGGCAGTGGCACCCCAAGATGTCCTGAACAAATGGGGGTCCACATCAAACCACCAAACTTGGGGTCCCGTGCCATCTACCCTGAAACCACTGTAGCTCAAATGCCACATTTGAGCACTCCACTGGCCCAAGTCCAAGTCGTCGCATGTCACCAAACCCCATGCCTGCCGTCGCTGCCGTCGGCACGGCACATGATCCGAGGCAACTCAAAGAGCTGCAGCGTCTCTTCAGTTGAGCAAAAAGAAGGAAGGGAGGGTCCCAGGTGTCTCTGGGGAGGGGACTACGGTCGGTATCCTGGTGCCATGACCCATGAGCGCCGGTTTTGTCGGATCACGGTGTTCTGGTCGGCTATACGGACGGTCTACCGGAGTTGTAACTTGGTCCTTTGGTGGTTTTCGGGTGGTCGTTCCTGGTCACCCACCGAGTCTTCGCTGCGATCTTGGCGGCATTTGATCATATTGATCTTCCTGTATGAACAAACAAAAGGGGAAAGCGATATTGATTCCCCTTTTGTTAGTCTTTCCCCTTTTGTTAGGATCGTGTCTTGGCGGCATTTGATCATCTCAAGAGGCCCAGAGGGTCCCCCGTTTCGAGAGTGAAGACACCATGCGAAGCAAAGCAGTGCGTCATCTAAAAGGCTTTGCTTCAGATGTGCAAACCGTGTGGAGTGAAACCATGGACCATCCCACGGGGTCGAACGAACATTGTTTGAGTTCCATGTTGGAGAATGCTTGCAAGGCGAAGCAATATCCTGCAATATCCCGAGGGTCTCAATAGTTTGTTCTAAACTATGCACTTTGCACAAGCCTCATGTCTTCTCCAAACGGGAGAGTTGCAGTCAGTTCGCGATTGAAACAACTATGTATGTGTGAATGGCCTGCGGGGCTTTCTCTATTCTTCCAGCTCATATGAAGCTCATATGATGTCTTTTTCATTCCATAGCGATCCCATCACAGATGTTTGACGTGAATTGTTGACGTGACGTGACGTCCGATCTGTGATGCACCACAATCTTCTCCCAACAAAGTGAACACAGTTCTTTTATTCCGTGTTTTACCAAAGTAAAAAGAACGTCAGGTAAGGTATGTCCATACACGGAAACCGAAAGATGTTCAGTGGAAACCGCCGAATCGCACCTTGAGTACCTTTAAGTGCGGCGAGAACGGCATCGCAAAGGGCCACGCCTCGCGGTTTCTAGATCAAGCCAGATGAATCCGCCGGAGATTTCTCGCCGGATACGGCGGTGAAGTGTCATCTTCGTGGTTTTCGAACTTGAGGCGTGCCCGCGGAGTTCAGGGAGTCAGCTGAGTCAGCTGCTCGTTCCATCAGGTGAGGATTGTTAGATGTTTAAGAGAGGTGCCGCAACTCCTCCTCCTCCTCCTTTTTCTCCTCCTCGCCTTATAACAGCAAAGGCCAGATTACAGTGGGCACTCTCGAACCTCAACAGATAGAATGCCAGAATGCAAACCACAACCATAACCACCACAGCACACAACCACAACACACGGTCACAACCACATCATCCGCAACCACCACAATACACAACACACAACCAGGCAGCAGGTCTCCTCTCAGATCAGCATGTTGTGTTCGAATCTGCCAAGCGAGAACGGAAAGGCTAGAGAGCAGCATGGATCCATCACATGAGGGCCTGCTCCAGATGATAATGTTTTTATTTCCAAGCTTTATTTGGGATGATTGAATCCACTGACAAATAGTGTTCAAGCGCGTTGAAACCACCAACCAGTTTTGATGGTTGAGAATTGTTTTGGTTCCAGTTTTGCTCAGTCACATTGTCTCAGCTGCGTGTTTGTGTTGGTTGATCCGAATGTGGAGTTGCTTTAGTGGAAGGTGCCATCTGAATAATGAAGAAGTTGTGGTCCAACTGGAGCCTGGATACCTTCCCTCAAACAAGCAAGGAAGGGGTGTTCACCTTCTTGGTCAAGGAAACTCATTTTGTTGGATGAAGGGTAGACCAATGGGAATCTAGGGAATCTAGGGGTTCATCATTGCACATGTTCAAAGCAACTGAAACATGCACTGCAAGGTGCAGCCTGCAATAGGGCATGATTATGCAGGTACGACTGTACCCATTTTTGACGACAGCGTCGTCGATCAACATCGGTCAACAGTCTGCACGACGTGCACGACCTGTGGCGCCACTCCTGCAGGCGACATGTCGCTTCTCCATATTATGTCGCGGACTTAGATGTGTTTGTGGATGGTCGGGTATTGTTTTTCCTTCAAGCAGCTGTACGGTCTCGCCGGTCGCCTATGAATGGTTGGGCGATCGTCAAGGGACACCTGTCTCGTCCACAAGACTTCGCGTTGCACGCGGAATGATCGGCAAGCTCCTGTCCCACAACACACGGGAGTCGCTGGGTCGATGTCTTCTTTGGGAACGGTCTGAAGCGAGTCACTGCTGAAACACAGGGCCTGCCATGGCTGCCAGACGGACCCGACCCTCATTCAATCAGGATCAAGTGTCTAGATCAACCATGCTGTACATCCTGGTTCCAAGTGTCACATGGAACCGGAAAAACCACGGTCGGGTTGTAGTTGTAGAAGAAGCGTCGTTTTCCAGTCTGGTTTTAAGGCCGGGTCGCCCGGTGGAACCTGTGGGTCTGCAGCTGGATACACCCGGGAAGAGACCCACATGGAACCTGGAAATGGACCTTTGAACAGCGATTTTCCTCTACAACTCAGTGGTTTTCAGGTTCCATGTGGGTCTCTTCCAGGGTGTACAGCTGGCTGAGTACGATCTACGGCTGGCTGGAATGTCAAGAATCTCTTGAGGGGTGCTTCTTTTTTTGTAGGAGTGTCGAGGGACAAACATCTCGAGGAGAATGGACCAGAGTGTCCCCAAAAAAAGCACAGAATGCAAACAATTCAAATCAAGACGAGATATGATCCTTTCAGATGGTGTTTTGTTATTTTGGAAGACTGGTGTGGACCGCCTTCCGCTCTTGGGCTGTGGGCGCACACCGACTCAAGTGAGAGTGTTATTTTGGAAGATGATACCCATTTTCTCGAAAGACACGAACAACGGCTCGAGTTCCGGTCTCCCTGCCTCGTGAACTGCAGGTCGAGATGTCGGGTTCCCTGCCTCGTGGTGGGGTTCCCGGCGTCGGTTCGCGCGCCGCCGCGCGTGTGGACGGTGCAACCACCGTGACGGTTGGTCTGCACGTGTTGGTCTGGACGTGACCCTGGTGCTTCCGGAGTGGTTGGAAGTGTTGGACCACATGTTAGATGGATAGACCATGATAGAGCCATAGAGCCATAGAGCTAAGGATTCGCTGAGGTGAGCGAACTTTTTTCGGGTGAGCTTGAACCTACTCCTGGAGAAGTCAATAGTAGCAGAATGGTGCCGGAATCACATTGCTCTTAGATCTGTGAAGAATAGGTTTCGCTGAACCTCCTTGGTGGTTTCGACCCCTGGCTGCCGTGCTTCTACAGGTTTGAAGCTGGATAATGTGAATTAGCAACACAAAAAGGTGTGGACCCCCAAGCTTTCGGTTGAGTCTCATCAATGTCATAAGCAGTTTGTGTTGGTCTTCCATGTTATACCCAGTAATTATACAGTGTTTTACTTACTTGCGATTGGCAGGCAGTGAATTTCATATGCAACACCTTTTTGGGGGGGGAATGTGTTTCGCCACTGAAAACCCTGAGGTGAAAAAAATGAGTTCTAGTTCTGAAAAAAAAGACTCCACAAAGACTGAGGGAGTCAGGCTTGCACCATCTACTCTGAAGGAACCTCTTTGACGAAGGTCGACCTTCCGACCTTGCGTGAAGTAGAGACCGAGAGCATTGCCAGCAACGCTCGGCCCAAGGAGGGGTAGGACAGATGCCAGTACCTTCCAACAGTGTGTTTATTGGGAGACTGGGAGAGGTGTGCCAGTACCTTTCAACAGAAACTGTGGTGCTTGCCGTGTCTTTGTGTTCTTTTTCGGTTTTGCCACGCAAGCTGGCACATGCATACATAGCGTCACAACCTACGCGTCATGTGTGTCGACATCCTTCATGACGCCGTGCCGTCACAGTGATCCGCAGGGTGACGCTCAGGTGACGCTCAACATGATCCCAGGCTCGCCAGGCTCATAAGTCCAAAAAGTCCTCAACGGTTCAACGTGAGGGTACATCCCTTTTTCCAAGACTCACGAAGAACATCGTCTTCCAGTCTGGTCCATGCCGGTCGCCGGGTTCCATGTCGGTCTCTTTCCGGATGTAACGATTGCCACATGACTGGATGTTCAAAACGTCTCCACTCGCAGTTCCACCGGTCTTTTTTCCACACCAAAGCTGCTACGGCACCAAGGTCCTGTGGCTTTGCCACGGCACCGAGCTTCGCGTTGAGGCGCGGCGTCTCCGGGCAGGGTGGGTGCTGATGTGGCTGGGTCAAAACCTGAGCCTCCCAAAAAGCAAGTTGTTCCAATCACTCCACGGATTCTTTCAGACCTCTTACCCACACACGACTAATGGGACTGCCATATATGCCTACATTGACCCCCAAAACCACTCCAACTGATCGGCATATATGGCAGTCCCATGGGATGTCATGGGTAATGGGTCTGAATACACACACCACATCGGAAACACCGCACTGTTAATAGGGACCGCGCCCGACTCATTGCACCGACCCTCTCGACTCATCAGAGGCGGTGTCGCAGCACGGGGCGACGCAGCGGGTGGCGATCGCGGCGACGGGGCACCTCGAGGACCGCGCGGCGACGATCGGAAGATGGGCAGATGGTGGTGAGTTTGGGGTTCGGTTTTGGGAGGTGGAGCAGTTCGGAAAGAGGGGACATGAATTCGGGAGAGAACAGACGATTTTTGGAGAATCATGTCCATCATATGGGTTGTTAGACGAAGTACAGGCTTTCTTGGTAGCTTGTGGCACGTTGTTGTTGTTGTTGTTGTTGTTGTTTCTTTTAACAAACCATGCATGGCTTGGTCACAACTTGGAAGACTGGGACGAGGTTTCTGCCCGTCTCTTGCAACGAGGGCGCTGTCTGTCGATCTGTCTATGTCTCGTCAGCCTCTCAGTCTGTGTACGAGGACAGATCGACCGGGAAGAACTGCCATCTGGACGACAGTCCAAGATCCGGACGGGGCAGAGTTTGGAGGGCAACTCAGTGCCCAGCAATTGTTTGACAAGACGTGGAGGCTCAAGACGTTTCACTTGATGTGCTCTACACGTGTTCTCCAGTGCTTTGCACTGCCAAAAACCGTATGCGTTTACGTGATCCAACACCTGGAACTGAAGTGTTTTCTGAAGAAATTCATGGAAGGCCCGTTGTGGGACGAAACCTAGGTCCGACCTTGATACCACAATATGTGTTACTACGAGACTATGAGAGTGTACTCTAATTGCAGGGAACTCATAGTAACATAGTCTCACAAGTGCACTTGATACCATGCCATACAAAATCATAAATTCATACTTAGTGTACTCTACAAGACATCGCTATTGGGTTGGAGGCCATCGCTATTAGGTTGGAGGCCATTGCAGGTAACATAGAGTACTCTACAGGGATCTCTCTCACAAGAATCTCACCCACCCTGACGCCTCTTCCGCGCCGCGCGACGAGGACGCCGCCTCGACGGCGAAGGCGACGGAAGCGGTGATGCGACGCGAAGAAGCACGGAGCACGGCTGCGAGCTGAGTAACAAAGGTGTTACTGAAGCCGAAGATGTTGGGATGATCTGACAAAGAAACTACAACAAATATAATATATATATATATATATAGACCAAAGTATTTTGATATAGACCAAAGACAAATACATGTTTTTGTTTTTCATGCTGAGATGAAGCGATTCTGATTGAGACGTTTTGAGACGTTTTGAGGATCTATCAGCTTTGGGAGACGGGTTGTGCTAGCCCACTCACAGGTCAGTCGAGTGTGCACGCAAATGTGGCAAGAATGAAAGAAATACTTGTGATATGGCTTTCTTCCGTGGAAGTAGGTCCAAAGGCTGTTTTGTTGACGAGCTTATCGGGAGAATAGAGGACTGAGGAGTGAACAAACAGCCTTGATCTTTTGGGGGTCGACGACCAAACACTGGAAATCACGGACCATGGGCCATTCGAGTCTGGTCGCCGTCTCCTTCATATGACTCCCAATGTAAGCTCCCAACCAAGCTGAAATAGTAGAACCAGTTAACAAATCAAGGTCTTTGTATAGATCCACCTCAGACTATCTCAGACTATATCATGTATGTGGAATGCTTGCTATGCTAGATGATCTTTCATGTTAGCATTTGGGGCTTCGGGGATGGGTGCGGTGATTCCATGCCGACCATGTGCCTTGATATGAGCACCCAAAAAGAACGCCATGTAATTGGTTGAGGCAATATCCAGCAGGTTGAGCCAATACCCATTGCCATCCATTGCCCATAGACTGCTGAGCTATGGGGCCGAGGGTATCCAGTTCTTCCCCAAGCCCAACAGCTAGTAGAGAACCATTCCCCCTTTTCAACCTCCAGAAACTGGTGATGCCATGGCTTGAAAGCTTTGTGATGCCATTGGAATTTGAGGAATGCTTCCGGGATGATGACTGGACCAGCAACGGTTGTCCAGTCTATGTGCCTGGACACAGAAGGAATAGTCTGGTGGGAGTCGGAGTTCTGTCGAGTTGTGGAGCAGTGTAATGTAGGCCGTTGACTTTAATATTGTTTGATTAATGCTGACACCGACACCCCTATACCAGAATGGTTCTACATCAATTGATGATTTCCAAATCAACAGTCAACACGAATCAACACAAACTTGTTGTCCTTGTTGATGAGTGTGGAAAATGGAGGTGAGGTGTTCATCCACCAACACCCATCCTTCTCGGATAGTGTGTAAAAACGATGTATTTTGGATGGATCGCTGGTGCGGTGGTTCGACTTTGATGTGCTTTGATTTTAGTGTTTGTTTACACCCCTTGCAGACTAACATAGAACCTGAGAAATGGGTCCTGGGAATAGACTCGATGGGTCGTTGGGATGGTAATACGTATCACCTAAGCAGAAAAAGAAAGTCAACAAGAATACCTAAACAAACCTAAGATCTGTAAAGTAAACTTTTGGTGCCACTTCGGATTGGTGGCGGCTGTGTAACTTAATACAGTGTATTAATCAGTGAAGCACTTTATAAGCTTCAAGTGTTCTGTTCTCTCTTGCCAATGCCACCTGTTCGTAAAATCTGAGTAGCCTATAGATGGGATGGGCCAGCCGCGAGCCGCGAGGACACTGTCGTGAGCAGGGGAGGGCTTGAGCGCCAAGCGTTTTGAGCTGCGCTATTGAAAAGATACGGACGCTCCTACGCTATCTCACATCCAGGACAGGCCGTGGCCGCTCAATCAAAATCCAGAATGGCATGGAATCGCTTCAACTGACAAATGGCTTCACACTTTCATCCACAACTGTAGATTGATGCTCGGTTTAACTTCAAGGACACTAACCACCGGCCGCCGAGAGCCTCTATTTAGATTGTGCCGGGAGGAGGTTGTCGCGATGCTGGATGTCGAAAGCAGACGGTTGCAGACATCAGGAGGGCAGAGCTCAAGTCTTGGGGATGCGACCCACTGCAAAGTATCGGTATTGCACAAAGTCACAAAGTCTGGCCTGGCCCCCGAGGGCTCCTGGCGGAAAGAGGCATTTATGCGAGTAGCTGCCTTGGCGGCGCCGCATTGGCTGTGTGCCAAGCACACCTCGAGTCGCGTACGGAGAGTCCAGTTCGGCAGACGCAGACGATCCCGGCTGCATGTCCGGTGCCGTGGGCGACCACCATGGCCGAGCGGTGCGATCTCGGTTTTTGACCGGAAACCAGCAGAGGTTGAGTTGAAGAACTCTATAGACCATCCTATAGGTACCCATGTAGGGTCCTAGTTCTGGTCACTTAACCTTTGTTGAAACTGGCGGATTTGTCCACTCGCCTGCTGAGTGCACAGATTTCTCGCATCTCTCAGCCTCTGCCAAACCCAAGCACGAGCGGCATATTTGCATGGGGTGGTTGAAAAGGGGTCAATGTCTTACCATGCCAGTCCTATGGAGTGTCTGGGAAATGCTTGGATGGTCATCCTTCTGTCATTCATCTCATCGCACATCACCCGCGCACCGTTCTTGGCCGCGTTGCGCGGGGGTAGCGGTTCGGCAGCTTCCCCGCAGCCGGTCCGTTCCGGTGACGGTTTCGGCAGGAAGGCAGAGTGATTTGTGTATGTGGGTGGGTTGGTATATAGAATAGGGAGACCCCCCCAATTCCATGCCCTGGAAGAGGAATATAGACTCCCCCCCAATTCCATGCCCCCAAAACAGAAGAGGAATACAGACCCCCAAGAAATGAAGCTTGCTTGGGTCCACCCAAACTACCGGGGCTCCATGACGTCGCGCCGCACCTTTTGTGTCAGTCATGTCGCGAAAGTGAAGGGCTGAGGAGTTCGGGAGATTTCGGGAGGTTTTTTCCCTCTGGTGGGTAGGGTAGGGTAGGGTAGGCTAGGTGTCCTAGACCTCCCCCTAATACTCCCACATGGCCGATCTATCTGGCGACGCGATTCCTCCATGTTCCGCGGTTAAGCGCGCGAGCGCGCGAGCGGTTCGACCCGATGTACTAAGGATCAGACCAAATGCTCAAGCTACAGCGAGAAGGAATGCAGCAGCTAACTTGCGTCAAGGTTTTTGGTGCTGGGATGTTGCAGGGTCCAAGCCCTTTTTGGATGTCATCTATAGTGGTGGTTTCGGATATGATTCAACATATTCAACCTTTACTTGGGATGTTTTAACATGATAGAACCACTACTATTTGTTCAATTGGGTTGAAGTCACCAGCCAGTAATAATGTCAGACCATGGTGACCTGCCTTTAGTGATCTGCCTATGTCTCAAGTCACGTGCTCATTTGAATTCGGACGCTGGACGAACTTGGGCCACGGAAGCCTTATCCAGCGGAAATCTTAATGCAAACAGCTAGCTGTTACTTATGAACTGTGGCCATAGTAGTTCGCGTTGGCTTTGGAGTGTGGTAGAAAAAAAATGCGCTGCACCCAAGTTCCATCCACCCGTCGTAGTCGGCGTATGCTTTCGGCTACACCTTGCGGAGTCATGTGCACTCCGTCGACCGCACCGGACGAGTCCAAACCTGGAGATCGACCAGTCCACCATGTAGCCGCAAACAAGTCAACCGTAAGGTATCCTGGTTTTCATTCCCACACCCATGTAGTCCTGGTGGGCCCGGCCCGTCGTCCCATCGACCTTCTATCGCAAAGCAGCCTTCACGAGCAGTGGTGTTTGCCTGATCGGATCTTCCTACAAAGAGTTACAAAGCTTTGACATGCTTTGACCATGTCCTTCCAGAGCATTGAACATCAATGTAGAACAGAATTTGTGTTCTTGTTGGGTGGATGGAAGACGGTGAAAGATATTTTAGTCATGCTCTCATGATCTCTCATGTGTTGTGCATGTGCTCATCAAGGATGTGTGTGTGTTTTTGATGAATTAATTGTGACTTGCATTACTAATAAACTTAGTGGATAGCCTGCAAAACCCTTTTGGGGAATTGATAAAAACCCACTTGACATCAACATATGGAAAACGGTTTCAAGTTTTTAATCTTTTCTTTCCAGGGAAACTGAAGGAGTCAGATTTAAATACAGTTACCCACTACGATATGGCTCCGTGGTTCAAGAGGATCCATGTACAAGTTGATGATAGAAATCCACTTGTTGTAACCTTTGCTAGTTTACAACTAAGAAATCCACTTGTTGTAACGTAAGAAATCCACTTGTCGTAGCTTCTTAAGTTCCTATAGTAGTAAATGCCAGGATCTACGTTCGTAGCGTCCCTGCTCCGTTCGTAGCGATGCCCTGTCCTTACTAGTCTAATGGCTGAGATCCTCAGATCCGAGGCACTAGTTGTGAGGAGCACAAAGTTTGTTTGAGGCTCTATATGAGCGCCTGGGACAACACGTGGGCGAACAGTGCAGGTTATGGCCTCGTTGTCGTTGTCGTTGTGGTTGTGGTTTTGGTTGTTGTGCTTGTGCTTGTGCTTGTGGTTGTTGTTGTCGTCGTCGTTTTGTGGGTATTTGTCTTGGCCGGAGCTCGTTGCGATGGTCCACCACCACCGGAGGTTTGGGATGGTTTGGGGGGTTTTGAGGTTTGGGGGTGCTACTTCAATCTTCAAGAGACTTGTTGGCAGTTCTTCCTGTTCAAGAAGTGGCCATCCTGGGATGGAGGTAACCGTTTCTTTTTCGGAAACTGGTAAAGACAAGAGGGATAGTGCATCCATAGGGGAGTGACTTGAGCCCGAAAAGAAATCGAGGCAGTCCTTGTATGGAAGTTGCGGCACAATCTTTCAGCCGGGTGCTGTTACTTCAATTGTTAATAGAACCTCACATGCGTATAGCAGCACAAGGCCAGTGTGGAATCGGAATATTGGTGTTCAACAAGTAGATATAAGTACGTTGCTTGAGGTGAATGAAGGCCTTTCTCCAGCTTTGGGCTTGTTGCATCCAGGGGGAAGTCGAAGCTTTGACTACCTCCTCTCTCTCGCTCTCTAACCCTCGTAGCCCGAGGTCCTTTGAGCTACACGTGCTGCGACGATGGAGACATCCATCATCTCTTTCACCGCGTGACCCGAGAAGCCGAAGCTTTTCCAGCCGTTTCGCCTGCGGAGCGGAGCGCGAGTTTTGCTTCGGGGATGAGCGCCAAGCGCAGCGATACAGCGATGGGGACGAGCGCAGGTTGCGGGGGGGAAGTTTGAGGGTTTTTGAGACTCTCAACGCTGGAAATGAAGAAAACGGAAGTGGATGTCCCCTTTCAATACCCAGTGAGACTGATTCAGGTTCCAAGAATGCATTTGGGGTAGAATTTTTGGGGCCACATGGATGAGCCAGCAGGCAATACCACTTGCGGATTGCTGTCGTAAAGACTCTTCCTTGGGGATTGCACTGGCTGCGGAATGTCAGTGCTTCTTTTGTTGCCAGATGTAATTGTTACTTTACTACAAATATATTTGCAATATCAACAATATTAGTGTGTATTAATATAGGAATAACCATATACGCAAACTGACAAGGATGGGTATAAGCATCCTACAAGTTCATCCAAGATCCTGTCTCGTGTCGCGGCTCCAGTGGCTCCAGGTACCTCCACCTCCACCGCCCAGGATGGAGGGACTGTGACCTGTGGCATTGGGAAGCGGTATACCTACTGTACCTAGGATCAAGGGGATATTCTTTGGTGGATGATCTTGACCTGTGGTCACTGTGGTCCAGCGGTTCCTAACCTTTAGCCATTCTTTCACAGCGGTCGACACAACGAGTCAACCGGACTCTTTCCGTTTCTGTGGTCGACTGGAAGGCAGGGCGGTGGCTCATCCTACCGGAAGTCCGTTGGATCGCCTGATGAGTCGAAGACGTTGGTTCGCCTGAAACTGGACCGTTCGTTCGCTTCACCCGTTCTCTGGAAACAACGGCGCCTGGGAGTCGGCAGGTTGACCTGTGCCATCTTGGGTGGTTGATGTGCGTCGTCCCAGTCTTGTGTTGTTTCCGGTGATCCAAAAGCCATTCTCGAGCCCGAAAAGAATACATTTCACCAACTGGAAGTCCCTGCTGCATCCCAGACCCTCGACCTATCCCTGACCATGGAATGGTTACCTGCACGGATGGGTCATCTCTCATGGGATTAATGTATGTAACTCTTCTCCAATAAGGAACATACAAATTCATTTGAATGTACATTGTGCCTGTGAAAATCTCCAAAGTGTCAATCAACAATCCCAAATTCCAGACCATCCATGGCATGCATGGGACTGTAATTATCCCAATCATCCTAAACAAAACACATTTATACTAAGGGGTTAATGAATGTGCAGTGGTTTCAGAGAAGATGGCACATGCCCCCATGTCGGTGGTTGATATATGGACCCCCATTTGTTCAGGACATCTTGGGGGCCAATGGAACCATCGAACCGAATAATTCTTTGCAGTTTCAATGGACGGTCTTAGCTAGGCTTAGCTGACTAGACTCGCTCACCCCCGGCTCTAGCAGGACTGAAGAGGCGGGGTGACAGGTTCCAAAGATGAGGGGGCCAGTGACTTGTTCAACAAGTGTTTCGGAATTCTTTGGGAACTAGGAAGTGTCGGATCAAGCGCTATGTAGAACCAGCAATTGTTGGAGTGTGCCTTCATCGAAAGATGCTTAACCTTCCTCCTTGTGAAGACTTGTTGGAGACAATCTATAGGCCTTCCTTAGGGCCTGGCGAACGCCCGGAGGCGTAGGATGACCGCTTTGGACGATGAGTCATTGCAAAAGCAATCTGACTTCTCAACAGTTCTTCCAGGGTTTGGAACAAGGCAAGCCCCGGAATGAAGACACATTTAGAAACGACCCCCCTGGGACTCGGGATGTTTTATGCCTACATCGACCAATAAAGCCACTCCCAATTGTAAATTTGCCAGTCCCAGACAGTCAGGTCGTGTTGGGGCATGAATGCTGCCGTTGGCTAGCTATATTATATTTGCTGCCGAACCCTTTGCATCGGGCTCATGTGGATCATCATTTTTTGGTATGGGTTGGTACGCTCCAGCATGCTCCCATCAAGCTTCTCAAAGAAGAGGAAGCTGCGTTTCCAGGCAAAAGTCTTAAGGGGACTCCAGGAAGCATGGATAGAAAGATGACATCCGCACTGCTCATGTACAACTTTTGGACCTTGGGGCCGTTATTCCTCAAGTGTTCTTTCAACAAAACCTGGTTCCTTTTTTTGTGTGCAGTTTTGATGTTTCTGGTGTTTGTTGAAGCAATCGACTGGAACAATTCTCCATGATTTGGATGGCTCACAACCATGTTTTTGGGACGTGCTTTTGGTGGATCCGGGCATAGATCCAATAGGCCTCACACCTCTAGCTGCTTCGTGCCATGCACGCACCGGCGACCGTCGTGTCGAGCGGACTGGTGTGATCCACCGGGACCGAATGACTAGTGAGTCGTGGTCCGGCCGATCGGTATACCATGCGATTCTTTTGTTTCTTTTTGTTTGTTTCTATAATGTTCTATATGGCCGTAATTCACCCAATATGGTGACTCATGTTTTCCTCATTAGCAGTGGTGGGTTGTGACATTGGAAGTTTGTTATTTGTTTTTCTTTTCGTTTTTGGAATGTCGAGACCGTGCATCATCTTCCAACAGCCGGCACAAGTGTAGCAGGCCATCGAAATCGACTTCAATTTCTTGGACCGACGTCGGACGTTTTCCGGAGCTGATGACCCTAGACTACCCTCCCAACAGGATCTCGATGTTGTCCACGCCTGGGTCCAACCGGACCGTAGGACGACCGACCCACCGAGGTTCCGAGCTTCGGTGGAGACGGGTGTCGCCCAAAGAGGGTACTAGATCGTTGAAGCATTGGGACCTGGACTCTGGACTCCCAAACAACCAGATGTTCCAACATGGCATATGAAGATGTTTTTTGCACATGGCAATCGAGATCACAGTTTGGGGAAACATCCATTTCTTAGGTGTTTGGGAATGGGTTTCCAGGTTTGGATGCTTCCTGCCGGCGCCTACCGGTGCCAGGCTCCAGCTCCAGCTCCTGCAGCAGAGACGAACCAGTTGGGCAGCCGAGTCAGTGGTAGAGTCGGCGCGGCTGCAACGGATGTGCAGAGCCTTTTTGGGAGGTAGTGATTGCTTTTTCCTGCGAACGATATGAAGAGGTGTATGATTATAAGTGCATATATATATATATATACCCTTCCGCAAAGGAACTGAGGGAATTCAGGTGGTCAGCTGGAACGTCTTTCCCCAGAAACTCGATGTTATCATGTTTGACTCTAGACCTCTAAGCTCCACGTCATCACAAGCGCCAAGATCGTGCACAACAAGGTATTGTGCATTGTGCTGTGCATGGGATCATATGGGATCATGTGGGGCGACTTCCCCTGTATAACTAGCGAACCAGCCCCCTTTGTTTGAACCTTGGGAGTCCCTGGGCAGCATCGAACTGCGATCGAAAACTGAGGCCTAGCGACGATCCAGTGAACATGGTGCTGCCCTTTTCAGGCGATGGAATCTGGGCATGGGTGGTCCAAAAAACACAAAAACCACTGGTTTTTGCCCTTGAACAGGTCCTTTCACCGGTCACGGGGTACGCGAAGCAGGCGTCCACCCAACATGTCCGGTCGAAGCAGGAGACGGATGACCGGTACGCCCACGCGAGACGGACGACCGGTCGGTGAGGCTCGTGCGAACTACGTAGCGATGGCCTTGTTCCTAGTAACTTCCTAGCTGTGTACTAGTAATGCCAGGAGCTACTAACCTCGTAGCTTCTTGTTCCGTTCGGGTCCGATGCACTGGAAAACGGGGAAAGCAGCTCGGTCCCGTGGGAAGTCCTTGCAGACTTCCACCGGTGGGGCCGTGGCCTTCCGTCGGCGTCGTCCCGTGGTCTCGCAGGTGAGGAGACGGACGCGCCACTGATCTGAACGCTTCGACCGGGCGCGGTGCTGCGCGGTGCTGCGCGGTGTGGTGGACCGGGTTGCGGTTCGTTGGTGGGTTTGTTGGGACTGCTGCACCGGAGATCTGGCATTGGTGGGGTCGCATTTTGACCAAAGTTGTTTGGAATGGGATCATAATATATATTCCCTAGGGCTCCAAGTACCTTCTGAGAAGGTGTTTGGGGTGGGTTTGGGAGGGTCCAAATACCTTCTGAGGAGGTACTTGGAGCCCTAGGGATTAACATATATTAACATATCACATTGTAGAACTTGAATATGATCAATAAAAATGTAATATGTAAAGACTCGAGCTGAACCCCCCTTTTGACTCTATCTCCACTGTGTGTTGGGATGTTCAGGGATTTTCCGTCCAAGTGCGCCGTTGGTTTAAAGAACCACTGGACTCGCTTGGTTCGGATCTGTTCTTACAAATGGGGGGGGGCTGGTGTCGTTCTTGGAGCATGCCAAGCATCCCATGGTAAGTTAGGTCGTCTAACAGCCTGTGCTGGAAACGTGGTCAAAATCTATTTTGATATTAAGTTTGGAAGTATATAAGCATGTGTTGTCAGAGTCATTGTCATTATTTTGTTTCTGCAGTCATTGTCATTGCCTCAATGATGTCTATAGAGATGATGAACGTCGACGCTGGGTCTGTGGAGAGCTCATTGCTGTGGAGCATGAACTGTCGAGGATGGAGCGTATCTTGCAATGTGTGGCGGCATTTTGAATATCATCCTGCATGATCCTGAATGATTAAGTCCTTCTCACATTGCATGTTGGTTTTCAGTCATTGGCTGACAAATATTAGCGTGTGTGAAAAACATGTGACATGTGCGTTGTTCAATCACATTTTGACAGACAGACTGTACTTATTGTTATATATTGTCAATAACAACTGATGTGTGAAAGTGTCAATGACAGCTGTCGTCATCCTGCTATACTTCGCAAGTCGTTGAATGGCATTACTGTTTTGTCAGGGTTCCCGCTGTCACGAGTGGGCAACCCTGACGGGCCTACCAGAGCGGATCGATGCTTCGAAGAGATCGAGGCAGTTTCTGGCCATTTCGCGCTGATGCTGGCATTACCCGCCTTTGGATGGCCTTGCGAAGGCCATTCACGGTCATTTACTGTTAGTGTCACTGTCCTTTGGGGACTCAAAAGCCTAAAATAAATAAACCACTGAGACTGCTGCTTGCAAGATATGGGTTGCTGGGTGTGTGTTGCCGGAATGTGCTCTTTGCCTAGGCTCAGCTTTTTAATGCTCTGTATGTTTGTCTAACTTAAGCTCTAAAAACTGGAGCTCCCATCAGTTTGACATTGATTGGTTTAACTTTCTGGTGACAGTAAAAGACCATTGTCAGTGTCACCATCGTTGAAATTAACATCATTTGTCATTTGTTCATTGTCATTGTCATTGGTGTTTGTTATAATTTTGTGTGTGTGTGTTGTGTTTGTTTCTGAATTGTTTTTCGTCTCATTGACATTGGCCATCACATGCCATCGCTTTCCAAAAATAACAATACACAAAAGCAACTTTTGCAACTTACAAACAGCCACCCAGGTGAACCTGTGAACAAAAACACGTTCTAAACTTGGCAGCACGCCCCCACGCAGCCGTCTGTTTGGGACATGTGTTGCTTTAGACATTAGTTCGGTGTTTCCCCAAACAATGTGTCCACCTTGAGGGGTTCTCACAGTAAGTGAAAAAGCCCGGGTTCGATCAGGGAACGCTCTTTGGGCCGTGCGTTTCGGCTGCGCAGGCTGTCAGAAAGTTCCGTTCTGAGGTCTCAAACTGCAATTTATTTGAGCAGGGTCGCGCGAAACGCTGGCCCCGGGACGGTGCTTGACAGAGGTGCGCTCTCGTTGTGATGCCGTGCGTTTTTTTTGATTTGGTGATCACTTTTATCGTGGCAGCCACAAGGGAAACCTCGTGTTTATGGCGGTCTGAAGTCAAGTTTTCGTGACAGGGTCAGGAGATCGGAGAAGCTTGATGTCGATGTTCGGATTTCGCAGCAGGCGCAGTACTTTGGACATTGTGGTGGTCTTCACCATGCCCTGATTTCATGTCAGGTGCAGTGAACCGTGACTTTTGGAGATGTCCCGCAGGCGACATATAGGGGAGACACACTCTCAGAGCATGAGCGAAAATCTGGATTGTGATAGGGATGGCGATCTTGCAATATGATCCAGCAGATTTGTCCTGTTGGTCTGCTGTCAGTCTAGAACAAAGCTTGAAGCCAGCTTGAAGAGTGTGAAGCATGAGTGCTTGGGCGCCGAAGATGAAGTCGATGTGTTTATTCCGTTGTGGCGTATACCATGCCATTGCCTTTGGCTTTAGGTTTGATGCTCTTGCGAAAGCTTTGTCGTTACCCAGATGATGTTGTGGGATGGGTTCAACATTGTTTTGAGCAGTCTATACTCCGCAAAAGCGTAGGTGTTCGATGGCAAGAGTATGACATCCGACACCGTTGCTGGAGTGTCGTGACACGTCGTGACCTCAGATCCTGGCGCTGGAAAAAGTCACGCTCTCGGGTTTATCGTGAAATGCCTGCTCAGTGAGATGGAAACCCCGGTGCGTCACAAATTTTCCCCGGTTGCGCAGAGGACAACTTTCACATAGTGCATGACGGGACGCATGCAGCCTTTGCAGCGCGTTTGAACCGAGCAAAAGGTTGCGCACGGCGAAATGCCCAGGCACCTTACCTTGCAGCCGCGTTGCGAGGCATGGCGCGGGCTGCTGGCATCCCCTGAAGGCACCACAGATGTATGCCCCAAATTCCCCATGGGGAATTTGCGATGACCTCGCGTATTGATTTAGAGCGTTGTTTCGAGGGTGCAGGTGGCGGCAGCTCTCATTGGGATACACAAGCATCACGCAGTGCTGAACAAAGTGAAAAATTCACGAAAACATGTGCAATCCTGCTGCTCTGGTGTACACCCACAGGGTTTATACAATGATAATGAGATAGGAAAAGTTACAGCTATACAGTACTGGAAAATATAGCTAACTCTGCTAACTCTCTAAAGTTAACATAATTAGTTCATTTTTTAAGGCTTAACAGCTCGTGTAATTTCAAAACATGTTGTAATGTGTTAGCGTGATTGTAGTAGTAGGTTAGCAAAGTGATAGTTCCAGGTTAGTAACAGTCTTAGTTTTGCTAACCACTTAGCAACACCCCAGCCCATCTAAGCAGACAAGGGCATGCACTGGGACGAAATCAACTTTGCATTCATTTTCTTTCAAAACCAAGTCTCTATGTTACAACGCTGGTCGGTGCAAGCAGCAGCAAAGCACAGAAAAGGCCTCACGAATCGGTCTCTTTTCAGCGCAGGACATCGCCCTTTGGAAGTTGAAGCTTCCAATGCTGTAGTGGTGAAGCTTCGTGAGCTCTCAGCAAATATATATGAGGTGGGGTCAAAATAAGTGTAGACTACTTTAGTCAGGAGAGGTCGATGTGAATGGCTTAGGGTGAGGATGTATTGGAAACCGATAAGGTCCCCCCCAAAACCGATAACCTATGTATGATGGTATTTATTATCATTCCTGACAGATCCTTGCAGTACCTGTTGCATGTCGAATGAAAGCCCCACTGACAGTACCCTAGTGGGCGGCTTCAGCCATATGATACGGAATCAATATTGTTGTTGCAGTTTGTCTTTCTTTTTATAATCTGCAGCCATCTCTTGAAAAATCCGGATTCTATGTGGGCACTATGCCGATAACGAAACCGATAACTCGCCGATAACCGTCTGGATATGTTTTCAGCTTTCACAGCCACTTGCCCAGAGCCTGCTGACAAGACAGCTAAATTCCCTATTGAAGACATTGGTCTAGCCGTTCTTTTTGAGAACTTACATGTTAGTACTTTACATCCCAGCCAACAGAAGGCCGATAAATATTAAGATAGAGACAGGTACACCAAATTTCACAACCCCCTCAAGATTGCAATGCCTTTGTCCGCTGCTGACAAGCGAGCTGTGAACAAGCTCGTCATCCACTGCTTCTGATTTCAGCGAGTAGGTAGCTCCGCTTCATGCATCCACAATGTAAATGCGAATGCCAAAAGCATTTGGCTGAACAAAAAGCTGAAAACCGATAAGGTCTCCCCCAAAAACGATAACGATAGAAAGCATCCTTAGCATAAATAATTGATTCTGACCGTGGCTCATATATATATATATATCACTATCAGTCAACAGTCCACATGCCAACGGCAGGTCCACTGAGTGTGGAGGCGAAAGCGGATGCCAAGGTGCGCTCGTTTTCAGAAATCGTGGCAGGTGCAGTACTTTGTGGACCATGTAGTGCAAATTTCACAGGTGCAGTACTTTGTGAACCTTGAACAAGATTTCATGGCAGGTGCAGTACTTTGTAGGCCTTGGAGTGCAAATTTTGTTGCAGGTGCAGTACTTTGGAAGTGCAGATTTCATGGCAGGCGCAGTATTTTGTGGACCTTGAAGCGGAGGTTTCGTGGCAGGCGCAGTACTTTGTGGACCTTAGTGCAAATTTCACGTCAGGCAGCGTATTTTGTGGACCTTGAAATGCAAAGTTCGTGGCAGTACTTTGTGGGCCTTGAAGTGGAGATTTCGTGGCAGGCACAGTTTTTTGTTGACCTTGAGGTGCAAAAATTTCGTGGCAGGCAGTACTTTGTGGACCGTGAAATGCAGATTGCGTGGCAGGCATAGTTTTTTGTTGACCTTGAGGTTTTTTGTGGCAGGCAGTACTTTGTGGACCTTGAAATGCAGATTGCGTGGCACTATCACCATCACCACCATGATCACCACCATCATCACCACCATCAGCACGACCCTCACCAACACCATCACCACAATCCCCACCTTCATCAACACTGCAACCTTTGAGCGCTCCCTCCGCACTGAACCTGGGCGCATTCACGCACACCTATTCGCAGAATTCAAAAGGGCCGTGGATTGGACATCCCTCCAGCCTCCTGTGTGGCGGGGCATCACTCCAAATTGCCAAGCTACCCGAGCGCGTGGGCCAAACTTCCGGGAGACGGTGGACCAAGGCCACTTCTATTGCTGGGCTCACAAGGAGCTTGCCGAAGAAATTGTGTTGAACATAGGACCATAGGCGTGTTTCGGCGCTGCTTGTCACCCTGGCTGTGGTGACTTCAAAGTACGTCCCATGGGTACACTACACTGTTAGAGGTGTGTGGATCGACGCGCTGTGGAAGTGTGCTGTGGACCTGCAAACAATTGGAGGCAAGGGGTGTGAGGGCTTTATTGCTGTGTGAGGTGACATTGGCTGACGCTGGAGGATGGATCTCGGGAAGCCTATGGGGAGCTGCGACCAAGAGCGCAGGTGCACTGCAAGCAGCGTTGGATGCTGCGCCGGCGGGAAAATGGCCGGCTGTCGAGGTGGAGAACGTGATATGGCGTGTCGTTGGATACCTGCATGGAGACGTACATATATTCGGAAGCTGGCAGGGAGTGAGGCGACCAAGATCACTGTGGTATCTGAAGATGCCTCTGAATCCCTAGAAAAAAA